TGGTATTGCAGTTTCAGGGTATAATTAAATTCTCAGAAATCTGCAGAACTCCCTCTAATTTGGTTTCTATATTTATTTAACAAGACAGTAAACAAATATATATCAATATACCCCGTAAGGGAAGGAACCTGAATGCAGGAGTTTATCTTTAATTACCTAGCAATACTCAGTACTGAGCTTTAATTTGATCATATTCAAATAAGTTTCATTTTGCATCATAACTATTACCATAGAGCATATTACCTTATAAATACCATTATGGGATCATATCAGACATTTTGATTCCTAATTAAGCAAAAATAATAAAATCATGCATTTGACCTAGAAGTATCTGATCAGGTACTTTCAGACATGAATTTGACAGAACCAACCCCCTGAATAACTTTCTTCATTTGAGTTAGAAAGCCAAATACTGCCATAAGCACCAGAAGAGCTCTTTTTTCCTATCGACCTTATTTTCTCATTTGTTGTATTTCAGACTTTTAAAATATATAGTTGTGTATGTCAATGTGATAAAATTATATAATGAATATGTACCTTTTTTATGAATAAAGAAAACAGTGTTTTATAAAAGTAGTGTGTGTCACTTTTGTTCCTTTCAAAAGTAAATGAGCCCTAAGGAATACACATCCAAAATGCCCTTTTATGAACATGTTATTTTAAATTATGTTCTATTTGTAAGAAACATTCTCTCCTAGAAGCAATTGGTAGATTTTGAATGCTTTGTTAAGATTGTCAAAGGAGCTATTTGAACCATTGCCCCTAAAGATTTAGGTATATAAAATACAATGTGAAATGTTAGAATTAAATTGCTTCCTAAAAATTTTGGGTTGCATCTTACAGTGTCAATTTGTTCCCACTTCTGCTCCCATGAGCTAAGATAAACCTCTTCTGAGGGACTGAATTACATGATCTTGACTTCTTTCCAGAGAATCTTGACATTCCCTAAGTGAATTTGTTTGCATTTTCTATGTGCATCTAATCCTAGTTCAGTACTAATGAAATCCTAGGCTAACACTTTCTCACATTGCCTTTTATCTCAGTATCCTAGGTATCTCTGGTCATTTGTAATTAAGTTTCCCTGCTCATATCTCTCCAGAAGTATTTCATTATACATTTAAAGAGCCATAAATGAAGTACAGAAAGTGACTACAAAATAAAGCTTAACTCATCCTTCTTCATGTTCCTGGTCTTGGTGGCTCACCATGTGGCCCTGCACTGGCCATGGAGCCTGGGCTTGGAACTACTTAACAGCAGGGTGCTGTGAGCTGGAAACTGATCCAAGTTGCTTTTCAACCTTCCAGGCTTCAGTTTCTTTGTATGTCAAAATTAGTATTTTAAGTGCCATCCATACCTCAGGTAAAAACACCATAGTAATTTCTGCATGTGTTTAAAAATGGTTCTCTGGAGCTGGGGATTTAGCTCAGTGGTTCTACCACCTGCCCCACAAGCACAAGGACTGGGTACCATAAAAATAAAAACTTCTCTACAGTGGTCACACACTGGAATCACCTGGATAGGTTCTAGTTTGTTCCCAATCCCTCAGGTTAGGCCTGGACATTGTTTTAAAGCCTGACAATAATGATTTTCCTATGAAACTAGTCTTTAAAAATTGTGTGTGTGTGTGTGTGTGTGTGTGTGTGTGTATACTAAATATTAAAAGAGGCAGGGTGAACTAAATCCTGAGTATCCCTTAAGAGAAGGGCTTCCTGCAAATCTAAAGTATACCTACTTTCAAGGTGTCAGTTAGTAGTCATATATTTAAATCACATAAAGAGATGTGTTTTGTTTTCTAAGGCCCCTCTGCATTTGTTCCGCCACTTTAGACCCAACACATGTGAACACAACACTTAGTCTTTGCCAACATTGGGAAATTGTTACCCTTGTATGTAAGATGAGTTTTTAAAGCACCTAAATAATTGTCTGAAATTCTTACATAAACCTCTGGAGTTTGCCTTTGATCCATGATCATTAATATCATTAATAGGCTCTCTGAAAGTGCGTGTGAATCTTGAGTTAGCATTTGGCAGAGCAGTGGAAGAATGAACCCTTTTAAAATAGTTTGGCTCATGAAGCACATCTGAAATAACCCTGTGGGAAAATCAGGAGAATTTCTCGTCCTCCAAAGGATTACCTAGGATGAGATACTGACCTTGTATTTAAAGTTCAGTTACATTGCTTTAAACCTTGTTCATTGCCCTGCCTGATTTATTTTAGGGGGTGAAATAAGCTGTGGGAGGGGGCTGCACGATGATATACAATTCTTAGGCTTGCTTTTTGTTTTCTGAACAGTTCCCAGAAGATTTTTTTAAATCATAATGTACATACATAATGCTTTAAAAAAGAAAAGAAAAAGACGAGCTTCTTCAGGACATTTTCCATAGCTTCTCTGTCAGAAGTTAGAGCTGAGGACTGCTCTCCCGTGTAGGCTCAAAGTCAAGCAAGCCCCAGAAGGCTGAGTGTGTGCAGGGCAAGCGGGGCGCTGACCTCTGCCGGGAGAGGTCAGTTCCGCACAGAAGACTCAAAAGGGAGGAAGAAAAAGCAACTCCTCAGCAGGGAGTTTGACTTGCTTTAGGGCAGAAGAGCTTTTATAAATGAGTCCCAAGTCTCCCACGCCCTCTTGCCTGCTCTTCTATTGCTAGTCCTGTCTGTGTGGTTGGACACACACAGGCACACACAGCTCCTATTTCCACTCACTGCCTCACATCCCTCTCTCCACCTGCCCCTGGAACTGTGGACAGATTGGCAGAGCCTGCTGCAGAGGAAGCAGGCGATGGATTGACTGGGAGTTTTTCTGGGCCTTGTGGCTCTCTGGGCCTTTTCAGACCCTCCTTCACACGCTTGACTGGTGAGAAGAACACAGAGGGCTCTTTCCCAAACCCACTGTGAGTGCCTGGGAGGGTTAGACTAGCTGGTCCATTCCTGTTGTCAGAAGGAGAAGGTGGAAAGGTAAATCAGAGTGACCTCCAACCAGAATGTGGGAGCCTAGGCTGGACGTCTGGGATGTGTCCCAGGAGGAAAAGCCCCAAAAACTCTTCCTTATCAGGATATCAGAGACTTATGAAACAGCAGCATGGCTTTATTTATATATTCGCCTTCATTTGCCTCCTTAGTGATCCCTTTTCCAGTTTCCCAATGCATACTGCTTAGCACAGTGACCATCTAGAGTTGGGTAGAGACCACATGGGCAGAGCCTGGGTCGACTAGAAAGCCTTTTTTGGGTAGCTGGTCAATGAAAAGTGTCCATCAATCTTTAAGCAATTCGGGGAGCAAGAGCTCCCTGCAGAAACACAGGATTCTGTTTTCGATGCTAAGAATCCCCAGTTGGAGGAATGTTTTAGAGCTCACCTAAAATCTCTAAAGGTTCGAAGAGAAGCAGACTCTATCCATCTGTAACGTTTCTGCAGCAAACTGGTCACACTTTCCTTTAAACTTGAATTTCTCTACCAAATTGCATGTTCTCTTGGGTCCTGGTTATAGAAATGACTTTGGCTCTTACAATGTGTGTTTGTCAAGTCTAATTCCAGATCTCAATAATATTTTAAGAAAGCTTGTTGAACTTAAGAGAACCCTTAGCTGTCTGCCAGCAGCTATGCAGTCTACCTAGGCCAGCTGCCCACCACATGAGAGCAATCCTGGGAGAGAGGAAGTAAGTGGAAGAGAAAGTTGGGTTTGACATTTAGCCCCTCTCTGGTCCAGAAGAAATGGCTCCCATATAGTGATGACAGCCAAGGAGAGAAGCCCCTTGCAGGGAAGGCTCCTGTGGGAGAGGGAGCTGTTGTATTTTTTAAATGCTCACCCCACTGAAGATCTTAAGAAAACCAGAGTCAAAGAACATCACGTCATTTTATAAAGATAGAAAACTAGCCCCAGACCATGTCCAAGAGTTCTCCAAAACCAAGCTCCTAAGCTCACCTCAGTTGGCACTAATTTTTTTCTAAATTAGTGGGAGTGGGAGGGACAGAGGAAAGAACTGTGTTGTCATTCTCACTATTTGCAGGTTTAAGTCAGCTATCTACACTTGGAGACCACACACTTATTGTGGAATTTAATTGGGTATGCACGTTTTTGTTTTTTTTTTTCCAGTCCTGTAGTTCATTTGCCTCTTGAATGAGCTTTTCTTCCTGCTGCACTGGTAGCAGGCACTGAATTGATGAAGGAAAAAGCTGACAGTTTGTA